CATTGCATTATCTTCAGGAATAGCTTCTTGTTGATTTTCTTTATCTCCATCATCCTCCCTCTCTTTTTCCTCTTCTTCTGAGCTGACTATGTTGTTGCTTTCCTTTGGTTCCTCCAAAACAATGGTTATTTGATTTACCACAGAAGGTTCAAACTGAATAGCTGTTATCTCTTCATTAAAGGGATCTGGCATGTGTTTTGTGAATGGTGTTTTAAAAGCCTTCTCTTCAGATATAATTTGAGTCAATGAATCTGGGCCCAAATCCTTTTTGTTGTAGTGTTGCGAAGCCCTATTAGTATTCATTAAAGAGTTACATGACTGGTCAGTTGCTCTTTTAGGGATAGGGTGAACCTGCTTTGAGCTGCCCACATGTCCCATCAAAACATATGTAGCTAGTCCCCCTGTTGGCTGCTTGACTGCAGCACCGCCGTACGTACTCACCGAAGCTTCACACCAGATCTGAATCTCAAAGACTACCCCTTCACATTCTATTTTCACTGTTTTTGGTACTGCAGATTCATCTCCTCTCACCTTTATTCTTGCCCATTTCAAATGATTTTTTAGTTCTGTTTCCTCCTCAGTTTCAATTCAGCCACCACAAAATTCCCCAACTTCTTTGAAAACTTTTTGAGACCATAGATGCAGTGGAAGTCCTACTAGTCTAATCCATACATGATTCATCATTTTATTTCTTGGAACAGACCCCACCATCGGATTCCACCATTGGAGCTTGACTTTGTATTTCTTCCAATACCATTCACTTCTCAGTACATGGTCAGCGATTAGCTTCGAAGGGAATTCGAAGAGAAACCTATTTTGGTGCATCTCGTAAATGTTGATACCATGTGCTTGCTTCCAAGAATTTGCTGCCCATTTACGAACTTCCGATAAGGTTGCAATTTCTGAGCTTTCTTCTGTAATGAATCCCACCAGGCACCTACCTAGCAGATCGTTGTGTGTTAAATCTCCAGAAATGTGTATAATGTCTCCTTCTTGTTGGACTTCCGCTTCCTTCATTTCTCTGCTTGCCCACTTATGATTTCTAATTGTGTTTGAATAGAGAAGTCCTTTTTCAATGACTTTTGGAGCGATAATTGTATTCCTCCGTACCTCGGCGTTCATGAACCTTTCTATTTTTGCTGCAACATATGACCAACCTAAATTGAATGCTGCCTCCGGAACAATAATAATTAACCTTCCCCTGCCTTGGACTTTAATGATGGTCATATAACGACCATGTTTGTTGTAGTTCTTCGCACAGAATATTTCTGAGAAATGATCCTTGATTTTCCATCTTTTCACATGATTTCCTTTCACCTTCGAGCTTCCTTCAGATTTTCACACAACCATATCATCGTCTTCCTGCTGAACATCGATCTTCTGATTAGGCTTCTCCCTCTCTCTGTCCATTCAAACCATTCTTCAGCATTTGTTGAGCATCTCCCTATTTCATATGACTTGAAGCCCATTGCAAAATAGATGATGTTGTTCTCCCTCATTGTAGGATTTTCCCGCTGGATAGGATGAGCAATTGATTTGTCAGCAATAAATGTTGTTAGAAAGTCCCCGGAATCTTGTGTTCTATATCCGGAAAATCGAAAAGTGTTCAGAATTTGGTGAAACTGGAATGGGTCTGGTCGGACACGCCTAGTGATTAGGCTGAGTGGAGAAATTTTTTTGAAAAGAGGCCCGGAATCTGGTATTTTGTCGCCGGAAAATAGAAAAGTATTCAGATTTTGATGAAAAGGGGATCGGTTGGGTCGGAAAAGGCTGTTGAGCAGGCTGGTTGAAGAAAAAAATTTGAAAAGTGGTCGGGATTAGCCACACGTGCCGGCGTGTGGCTTAGATCTCGCCGGAAAAAGGCTGGACTGTTTCGCGCGTGACGGCGCATGGAGATCTGGTTGCCGGAAATAAGTGCTGGGGTTTGGTCGGTTTGGGGTTGGTTCTCGCTGAGAGAGATGAGGTGGTCGGAAAAAGTATGTAGCAAAGCATCTCCGATCCAGCACAACCTTTGTGCTGGGCTTTCTAATTTTAACTGTTTATCTTAATTTGATCCAGTGTAATTACTGGAGATCTCATTTTGGTAGTTTGCCCTCCCATTTTACTTAAGTAACTAGTAACTAATAGTGCTTGTCAGTTTGGACTACTCTTACGTGAAAACAAGTTTGTTCTGTTATCAGGTCATCGACAAGTCATTTGGCTTTGATACTGCCGTAGAGGAGGCTCAACGTGCCATCAATGCAGCGCATGTTGAAGCTCAAAGTGCTGAGAACGGTATCGGTGTGGTGAAGCTAATGGGCCGCTATAGTGGTAACATGCTTTTACAAAGTCTTGAAAAACTTTCAATGCATAGAAAATTGCCCAGTATAGAATTTCTTTTACCAAGTTCACATAAAGACTGTTTTATGCCCATCTCCACTACAAATCTTATCGGGCACTTCATTGTTGGTTCATTTTGCTGTTAAATAATAAGCTCTTCTCTGCATAGTTAGCTGCAAAACTCATCATTAGATAGGCTATAGCTGTTATCGATAAAAAAATAACTAAAGTGAGCTTCTATATGCTCACCATTTTCTTGGAAAGCATAAATAAAGGTATACACATCTTTGAGACAACAAATTTGCTTCTTTCTTTTCAAGTCATATTCTCAATGCTTAACTGCCCAAACCTCTCCATGCTTGCATAGTCTATATATTATTGTACTTTTCAACAAACAACAAAAGTCTTGATTTTAGTTCAATTTGCTGGAATATTGGTGTAGGATTCATTGCAATGTATGCCACTTTGGCGAGCAGAGATGTTGACTGCTGTTTGATTCCAGAGTCACCCTTCTATCTTGAAGGAAGTGGTGGTCTCTTCGAATTCGTTAAGAAAAGTCTCAGAGAAGATGGGCACATGGTTATTGTGATAGCTGAAGGAGCTGGACAGGAACTTCTTGCAGAAGAAAATTCCCATGCTAGAAGCGAACAAGATGCTTCAGGAAACAAGCTTCTCCAAGATGTTGGTTTGTGGGTATCCCAGAAAATCAGGGTAATGGTTGTTATAGACAGAGTTGTCCCTAATCTTATAGTTATACATAATGCAGAACTGAAAGATCTTGCTTTCTCTTCCTCTCTGTAAGCGATTAAGTGTGCTCGTCTCTACTTGAGTATGCGCATTTTTGGGTTTGTGAGAGAGCTAATATCATCTGTGTTAGCAAATTACATCTGTTCCAGTCGACAAAGCTTTCCTAAAGTTCATACTATACATGGTTTCCAGAAAATAAGGTGCATATCTTCCTAAAAAGGATAAGGAAACGAGGAAGAATTTGTTTGACAGAATTATTCACTGAATGATTACCAGATATTCTCAAATGCTCATGTGCCTCTAATAAGAACTTGTACTTTTAACTACTCTCACAAAATAAATTCACGTAACCACCAAGTAGTGGTTTGCATCTTATAAAGCAAACACCATATAGAACAACATAAGAAATAATAGGTGAGGCATTATAATTCTATATTATACATTTCGTTATTTTTATTTTTGACTGCATTGTTGTCTATCTATCGCTTTTGAGGAATGGTATGTTGTTATGTATTTTGTACAGAGGCTGGTCTCCTATATCTGCCTTTAAACACTGACTATCTAACAGTCATGAAATTTGTTGAACTTCTTGCTGAAAGAACCCTGCAGCAATGCGCATGAGTTTTATATTGCCACTTATCCTTTGTTAAGATTCCTATGATCCAACATGGAAAATGGTTCTTGGTCCTACTTTTCTTTTTGTGTTTTCTCGCAGTCCATGTGGAAATCGTGACTGAGATTATTCATATTAGGAAGTATTATGTATTAGCATTCTACTCACCATTTTTTTACTTCTTGCAGGATCATTTTGAAAAAAAGCTTAAAATGCCCATTACTCTTAAATATATAGGTGGGAAAATTTCAACCATCTGAATAGCTGATTTAGTTTGAAAAACTTATGATGCTAACCAGCAATTCACATTGTTATGCAGACCCAACTTACATGATTCGTGCTGTTCCGAGTAATGCATCTGACAATGTATATTGCACGATTCTTGCTCAAAGTTGTGTTCATGGAGCTATGGCAGGGTATACAGGCTTTACCTCGGGGGTTGTGAATGGTCGTCAAACATATATTCCATTCAATGTAAGTATCTACATTTGGCTGTTGATCTTTCTAGTTTTATCTCCGGCTTCCTGATTAACCCCAAGGTATCGACAATGTCCGTCCCTGTGGAAATTGGAATCTGATTGGGACTTGGCTGTGATTTATCATACACTAGGCTTAGTTCCTAGCTGCTTTAAGTTGAACAGCTTCCGGTTCACTAACTGCTTTTAGCGTTTAGGTTTAGCTTGAGGATGCAACTCATGTTCTTAAAAGTTCGATTTCCTTCCTATAATCACTTTTCCAACGCCGGTGTCGTCCATTTGGAGTCTAAAATCCAGTTTAGTTTTTCTTAAATTTTCTTAACGTCAGGGTAGATTATTTGTTGCCTTTCAATGAGTATGTTAAATAAACAGTCTCCGGAAAGTACGCTCTACTGTTTAGTAAGATGCACTTGCACCTTGGGAAAAAACATGGTGTTCGTTTTCTCTAAGATTGTTATCAGCAACCTATTGTTCTGTATTCATGGTTCTGGTGCACTGACCTCTCCCATATGACATAAAGCATGTCGAATCTAATTTCATGGCATAGTTGATATCAGCAGCAGCTGTGTGCATGTTATGTAAAAGCTGGTTTTGTCACTGTCATCTTCCATGACAGAGCTGTTTTAGCAATATTATGCTCTATTCGGATCATTTTCACCTGTGTGACTTGGTGGCAGAAAGGGGAACCAAAAGCCATTCAATCAATTATGTTGTACCTTACCTTATCAAAAGATTATGTCCTGGGCACTAGTTTTATTTTGTGATTCGACTTTCAAAGCTATTACTATGGACACACCATTTTCACAAGTTTAACCAGCATCTTCATTCTTTGCTGTGCAGCGCATTACTGAGAAGCAAAATAAGGTGGTCATAACTGACAGGATGTGGGCACGGCTTCTTTCGTCGACCAATCAGCCAAGCTTCTTGAGCACAAAAGACATTGTTGAAGTGCAAAAGGGGCAGCACCCACCAACTCAGTTATTAGATGGGGATAACAATGACAGTGAGACTTCAGGTAAACAAAACACTAGCATGGCATGAAATAAAAGCACCCTATAACACTAGAGCAGTAACTTTTCTCACCAGTAGTCACTCAAGTTGCTATTTCTACTACCTTTAAATCTGCAAATGCCTACCATAATGTCAGATTAATCGGGTCGTTGTAGGAACTTATTTGAAGGTTTTGGATCTGTTACCGTGCCTCAGCTGTGGGCAGTAACAGATATGTATATTGAAGGTTTTGTTGTATCTAGTGAAGTTGCCGCCAAAGCTTCGTTGTATTCATGATTATGAACCATATTTATTTGTATGTTGTGGAGGTGTTGCTTCCCAATTTTTTGGTTATCTCCTCTCTGTATTTTACATCTGGAAAATGCTGCTGTTCTCAAAGTTTCTGTACACAAATATCAACTACTATTTCAAGAATTTCAAAGTAGCAGTTAGCCAGGATATTACTACTATGCTCCATTGAGTTGACCTAAAGTTTATGCACTTCTTGAAACGGTACTGGATGGGGACCCTTCCAATGTTTGAATGTTTAAATGATCCGGCAGGGAAAGTTCTAAAACCACATGACAAACTAAATTGTTTCAACGTATCTAAACTTCTCCCCATTTGCTGTGCTCGTAATCTGTCCCATATATTTTACACTTCTGGAATCTCAAGTGTCAAAAGACGTGTTTGAATCCTAGAAGATGCAACACAAATGAGATCTAAGCTAGATTTTGATTGCATTTTAATTTAAAAAAACTTTCATTGCAAACTAATTCTGAAATGAAAAGGGCGCTAAGCCTTAGTGATTAGGAACTGCACATTTACCCCCACCCAAATATTTGCAAAACCTACCAATTTACAAGACTGGCCGATAATGCAAATAATAAGGTATTTCTTTTGGAAGGAAATCAGCTTCCCTCCATATAGCTTTGTGAAGCAAAGTTAGTTAAAAGGAAGTAAAACTACCGCTGCATTCTAATTGGATTGGTGCTTCAGTTAATACGAGTAGGGAAGGGTTCAAACGGGAGTCAAGAGAATGTTGTCTAGCCACTAGCAATATCAGAGTGCAGGACAAGATCCGAGAGAGATTACGATTACATACAACATTGAGACAAGAATGCAAAAAATGACTGCATAGCTTTCATTTTCAGATTAACGCTGAGCAAAGGCTTTTTCAGTGAAAAACAAAAACAATTTAGTCCGCCACAAAGATTGTGAGTCATTGGTGATGTCTTCATCAGCCCTTATAAACACCTGAAGGATCTGCATTCTGCACAATCCAAGGATGCTCCAGGACCTTTTTTAGGGGCAGACGCTGAGAAGAATCCTTTACAAGCATCTATATCCCACAAACATAATAAATTATAAAGAACAAGTCAGGCCCGAGATTACATACTGCAGTATTTCAAAGCATCTCAAATGGATTAGAGAAAAACCTGACTAATAAGGTCCTTGGCAGCTGATGAGACAATTGGTTTGGCAGGAAATTTGAGATCCACTTGCACAATCCTGTGCACATCCATAGGAGAACCTTATCAATATACCTACCAGTGTTAAGCTGGTAATATTCATAAAAGTTGTTTTGCCATTTCATTCTCTCCATACCAAGATTTAGCTAATGACAGAAGGTTTGAAAATTGTACTGCTTGTGTTCAATGTATGTGTAATAATTTCTTTTACCATTTCATACTCATGCACAATTTGAAAATTGTACCATGAACATCAGTTGTAGCATTTTATGAGAGAATTCTTTTTCTTAAAGGAGGACTTGTGTATAAATTGTACTATTTCTTCTGAAGTCTTCTTCTTTTTTTGTGCTTTCCTATTTAAGTTTCTCATGAAACTTTTAGTTAATGTTTGGGGTAAAAGCGCACCTTCGATATGTGTCTGAGTGTTCCTTTGCTTCAAATGGAGGCATCCCATACAGAAACTCAAAGCAGAGGATACCCAGGCTCCAAATATCCACACTTGCGTCATGCTCCACACTTTCCACTGCAAGTTCAGCAACCAACGTATCATAAAACATGTAAAAGCAGTCAAAAGATTTGCTAAGCTATATTCTCATACAAGCCATGAAACAGAAATTAAAATAGAAGTTTTTTCTTGAAAAAAGAAAGAAAAAAAAAGATACTAACAAAACTTCCAACATATCTCGTATAACATGAACCATGCTTTTATAACTTCTTGCACATGACACATATAGTCTAGGGTGCCACACATAGTCCGCTTTCGATTAACAGTTTAACACACAATGTATATCTCATTTAACACACATACCCATCTCTGGTGGCAAATAGTCTAGAGTGCCACACATAGTCCGCCTCCGATTAAAGGTATGCACTGACCACCCAAAGTCTGCAATTTTGAGTTCACCCTAAAAGCAGAAATATTTAAAAAACTATTTCAAGCTCCGTCATTTTATAACTGCAATGCACACTGTAAATTGTTATTGCTAAAGATATACCTGTGCACCAACCAAAAGATTCTCCGGCTTGATATCTCTGTGTATTACGTGCTTCCCATGACAGTATATTAGGGCTCGGGCTAAGGATGCAACATACTGCTCCAAGACCCAAGATAAAGAAAAATAAGAAAATTTATGGTCAGTTGGTCAGTTCAAAAATAGTTAGGATGGTGAGGGCATGAATATTAAATGTTGGAGATAAATAAATCTGCTCACACTCAAGGCTATTTAGAATGAGACCAAAACCGAAAAATTTGAAGAAAAAAAAATTTAACATCTGCTCATTTACCAATTTCTCATGATTCTCAAATTAAAGATTTTGAAAAAAGGAAATCCTACAAGTCCAATAATAAATGTATAAGCAGTTCTGTAAATCAGCAAGAACTAACAGTTGCAGCACGCCGTTCACTAAAATATTTGCATTTCTGCAGCTCCTTGTAGAGTTCACCCTTGGCAGCATATTCCAGGATCAAATACACACGTTTCTGCAGTAGTAAGCACTATCATCAGTCTCCTGGAAGTTAATCTTAAGAACAAAAAATGAGAACAAGCAATGCAGAAGAGGTTACAGAAGGAACCTTAATTTACCTGGTCATAAAAGTAACCATAAAGCCTCAAAATATTTGGATGACGAAGGTGGCTTTGTATCTCAACTTCACGACGAAGCTGATGTTCGACCTGGGACTGCTTTAGCTGGCTCTTGAACAGCACTTTTAATGCGACAACGTGATTGCTCTGTTTTCACGAAACAACTAACCTTAAGTATTGGAAATGTGATTGCAGAATGTAATGTCTGTCTAATAGAGTTCGAAACATCATTTATCTCATGTCCATAAGATATCATCCCCAACCTCTCACCCATTAACTATCACTATTAAATGATAGCATTAGATGCTACAGAAATTTACTGATATAGAACCCCCAAATAAACAGGCACTGTTATAGCAGGCAAAACTAATATATTGAAGGAGCCAACTAGCAAAGCATATCTGAAGCAATTGATAGTAAAAACATTGTATCTTTCTTAAAGCACTGACCCTTTTTTCCCTAGCTAGATATACATGACCAAACTTTCCTCTTCCAAGAGGCTTCCCAATGTCAAAATCATTAAGCATCCACCTCTTTTTATCTGCCTCTGATGATGCCTCTGGTGACGCCTGCAGAAGTTGAAAATTCTGTAGTCCATAAAAAGAGCAGTTTACTAAGAATAAAAAAAATGCGGTTATAACCATTAATTTCTGTTGAATTAAATCCGCACAAAAACTCAGAAACATTATAAATCCAGGACCAGGTCATAAGTCCAAAATCTTAACTTCTTTTTATGGTTTGAAGCTGTGTGAAGATTCACCCCCAAAATTCTTATATATAAAGAAAACTTTCAAATCCTGGAAGCAGTTTAATAATACACCAAGGCATAAAATATTTCTCATATCATCTAAAAGGAAACCCTAAATTATATATCAGAGCTGAAGCTGGGAATTTCTATAAATCTTCCCCAATTATTAAGACGAAAAAATGTAAGCACAAATCAAGCTATTGTCCAATGTAAAACCCTAGATAACTCAAATACATTTCAAATTCAAGTCCTAAATTCGAAATGAAAGAGGACAATAATCACATCAAATAAATTACATAAAAAAATCAAAGGAAAAAAATATTATGAATTAATTTGCTTTTTGTATTTTGTTCTGAGTTGTTAATTACCTTGTGTTGTTGCTGTGGTTGATTCTCCGTTGCGATCCCCATTTCTGTATACCCTAGAGAAAAAGAGAGAGAGAAAAATTGAAGAAGAAGAAGAAGAAGAAGAAGAAGAAGAAGAAGAAGAAGAAGAAGAAGAAGAAGAGAGTGGACGGCTAAACGGGAAATGAATGAATGGTGACTTCTTTGAATTTTTAGATTTGAATATAGAGAGGGGCCGAGGGGGCAGATTTTTCTCTTTGTTCTTTTACAACGGTCATATTTTTGGTAACATGCCACGTGGCCCAATAACGCTTCTACTCCCTTTTCAAATTTTCGGTTTTTGTTCAATAAATTCTTCTCCTCAAGGAGGAGCGTCCTTGAACATGTCCTGAGAGGACCCATATAGGGGCAGATCTATAAAATTTAAATAGTAGTTTTTATTCTTAAAAAATTTCCTAAATGTTTGATTATAAACTTTATTATTATTATTATTTACCTATATTACACAATTATTGTAGGAACTCGTAAATTTCATTAAACAAAAAGTGTTATTTTTGTTTTATATTTGTTGGATTGAGAAGTTTTACCAATTAATCACCAATTAATCAACTGTCAAACACAAATTAGGATGGTTTATATGCAGGTTGGGGTGGGCGTCGGTCAGTGCGGTGCGGTTTGCAAGAAGTTCGATTCGGTTTGTTCGGTGTTCGGTTATTGATTTGATGCACCGACAACCGAACCAATATAACTTCAGTTGGTTTGGTGTTTGAAACTACGGTTCGGTTGATTTTCGGTTTTTGTTCGGTCGGTTATTGTCCTAGTTTATCAACATTAAGCATAGATTAATTACCATTTGTCAAGGGCAGAATATAGATCAATATTCGATTTTCTGAACTACTTAGGCATCACGTAGTGTACGTAGCATCAAATGTCAGAAAAGGTCCTCTTAATAACTCTTCAGTGGAACTACTTTTGTATTTTTGCTTATTGTTAGATCTTGCCTTCACTCAATTATCGAAACAAGGCGTCAAGGATTTGCGTGAAACAAAATTCAATACAACTTTCTTATTGGATTATGAAAGACCTATCTTCCATATAGATTAGGAACAGCTTCATACTGCTTCATACAACTTCATTTATTCCTTGGTAAGCAAATGACAGAAACATTATGTGTGTGTTTGGGTAAAAAAGCAAATAGAATTGTTCG